GMAKSRTGCTTCTTGTTGGTGACCATAGTATCCCACTGTCCTGCATCAACAGGGAGTATCTCCAGTATCAACTCCGTGAGGCTCTCTGGCTCTTCTATAGAGTAGCTACCATCCTTGTGRCTTTGAGTAGAATGCCTTTTTGCTGTGTGTGGTAGTAAGGTATACGGTCAACGCATTTTACTCTGATGAAACTCGTACCTTGTAAACCTCAGTCGTGCATCGACCATCAACTTCATACGATTACGACGAGCTAGCTGCTCTTACTTCCTCCCGGGCTCGGAACTGATCTCGACATGAGCTGCAAAATTTATCTCATCTGAATTCACTTCAAAAATACTACCGTACACTTTGTATCCAAGTGAAACAAATTCCACTTCAACACAACTAAACAAAAAAGGAACTTCGCACTTTTCTATCAACTATTTCCTTTCATTTATATCGATGTTTGTCATACGATTCCTAACACGCAATTGCCATGTCAACTCCMCCTACGCTTACTGAGGCTTTCCGGATTCTTGGGCAGCGGCGGAAGAAAACTTACACAGAGAACGAAGAAGGGACGAACGATGCCGTCGATATCTTAGGAATTGTCACCAACATATCAACAGATACGTCATCTACGACAGTATTGGTACCCAATCTATCGTCTCGTCGTCACTTTGTTTCACGGAGTCGAATATGGTTGGTGGACGACTCAAGATTTAATGCGCATGGCGAGGAATTTCCGCAAAATTTGACCAGTGCGAGCTTTTTTTTATATGGTTCATCCGAGATAGACAGGATTCATCAAGAAAACATCAAAGCAGGAGATATTGTACGATTCAATCGAGTTTCATTGAAAGAGTTTGATCCAAGGGGTTTGGCTCAATTTCGGTTTTCTTCCTACGATCATGAACCCGGAGTAAACTGGTTTCGTTTGGGMCATATCGATAARCAGGGGTGTTTCAACGAAARTAGTGGGTTTCATGATAATAACTATTCGCCAACTGGAATACCAACAACTATGAAGACTTCTARGGGGAGAATCGYGGAGCTCGCAAGCTGGTACAACAAACACTACCATCTAATATCCCGTCTATCTACTACTTCGAATATTGCTTTGCCCACCCGAAGACGGCTGTTGTCCGAGATCCAATTCACATCCGGGGTTCTCAGCAACGTCCGCGTCAAAGTCACGCAAGTTGATTTGGAACCTGCCAGGTCGGCTGCAAAAAACATAAGTTACAGGGTCGACTCGAGCCGAAAAAAGAAGCGCAGCCGGATGACTCTCCCCCCGACGGCATTTGCYGTTTTTACAGACGAATCCGGGGTTTTGATGCCATTCATTGACACATCTGGTCGGTTCGTAGAAATTCTAAGGTCGTCAAAGAACGCCGACCACAATTCGTTGTCATTGTTGATGACCAATGTGAGTACCGAATACCAAAGCAATCTTCGAGGTTTGGAAACTGTTACGAGCGACATTGTTCTGGTGCCAACGAGATCGACTAGTGGGCTTTTGGTATCTGATGAGAAGAATTCAAATCCGAACAATGGAAACCACACTGATGGTATTAGCGATTCCGATGTCATACAGACACAAGAAACAATGGATACTGATGCCAAAAGAGAACATACGGTCATTTCTAGGTTGATGGATTTATGTCTCAACGGAATATCTTTGAAGAAGAATAGCCAGTCAGTGTTTTCAATACCGTCCAAGTACTTGGAAGCTATTCTAGACAACCGCGGTAAGAGTTTCAGAAGAAATGCAATGGTTCACTTGGATACCAGTTGTTGCTCCCTGCAATTGCCACCGAACAACACTTCTGAAACTGTTYGTGTTTTTGAAGCTAAGCCTGGTGTACTGAAAACCCTTTGCGGGAGTCTAGAGGTCGAGGAACTGTCGAATGATGAGATGCTCTGTGATCACTCGATGAGGTTTCTTCGCACTCTTGTTCAAGAGGACGTGGTTTTGAAGTGGACGCTGGTAAGAGAAGAAAGGAAGCAGAATGTGGCTATTACAAAGGTTGTTTTGCACCGCATTCCCAGGAAATCGTAGAAAAATGCATAGAGAGTAGAATGYCATCTTTTATCTTTGTGATCCTGCTTCACCRCGTTCAGGAACAAAAGTTCGGCGAGTTCGAGAGTTGCGTAGCCTACACACATGATCTTATTATAGAATAGAAAATCAATTTCATTCCATATCAGAGATGTTGTCTGCAAGAAAAGTGATAGTTTATAGTAGTATTTTACCGCATGCATACTTCTCTTTGCTTTTCTGGAGTCCGATGACCGGTGCCCATTTTCCACAATCGATGTGCAATCTACGAATGGTGAGGACAATGCGAGTATGATACTTGTCTACTCAAAGCGGAATACCAATTCGGGATCAGCTTCGACAGACTCGACGCGGTCCTTGAAGTCCTCGAGGAGCTGAAGAACACCAGGGCGGGTGTACTCTGGGTCGATGCCGAGATCCTCGTCGCTTTTTCTTAGGAGTGCCCTTCACATCTTAGCGAGGTCCGAGACCATCCCTTCGATATTGCCATAGTTCAAATGCATCCAACTATCGTGGCAGATGAGATGCCATGTGTAGGCAAACAACATATCAAACTTTTTCTTCAATCGTTTGTTCTTGTACATGCAATCTTTGAAATGATAAAATCTATATCTGACACGTTCGCCAAACATCCTGTTGTAAAATAGGAGGTGTTTATCCGCCTGCCCCCCCAGGACAAACTCGTGGAACTCTTCGAGCTGCTGTTCACGACTCTTCGTGATCAAGACCCGTCGCATGGTGTTCAACTCTTCCATGGTGACGGTGGCCATCTCCTCTTCCGTAAGCTCCTCTGTGAAATCTTCTTCGGGGTCACTTGGGAGCCCCTTGATAATTAGGCAGCCAATGGCGTCGATTTCTTCCACTTTGGCTTCGAGGGCTGACATGTGCAATTCAAAGGGGGTTTCGTTGGTGTTGTTGGAGGCCATGGTGGATTTTGGACAGCTACGAAATAGATCAAAAAGGTTGCTAACAAAGCAGTATGGTGAGTGACAACGTTTGAAAACGAAACGAATGAAAAAAAATGAAACGATCCAAAGCAGCGTACAGTGAAAGGATACGGCGTCGGATGGAAGAAGTGGCCTCTTGAGGTCTTGACCTTGCGTGAGGCAATACGATGCGTGACTCGGTCTCACTCGATTTTATGGGAGGCAAGACATGATGCTTTCTTTTTTCACCTATGCGCCACCTGTTTTGAACAAGAGGATGCTATTACAATCATTCATTGCAAACGAAAAGTAGCGCTTACATTCCCGTATCCCAGGAAAACCGTTTTCGCTTTTCCGGCAAAAACTGGTGTCACAGTTCATATTTAATGAAWTACAGTACGTACGTTGCGTACGGTACTGTTTTRCGCTACTGTACAGTACCAACTTTTCGTACGAAGTACTGTTATTCGAAAGAATCGTACGTACGTACCAGTACTTCAAGTTTAGACTGCCGTGACTCGTATGTTAGTTCCAGGGCCCAGATTGTGAGGTACTGCACATACCACAATCACGAGTAGCTAGTGAATAGCCTTACTCTTTATTGTAAACCACGTATTATCATACACTACAGAGCCTATCAGCATTTCACAGGTTACACACATAGAACTTCATAAAATCGCTACCTTTACGAGTGCTAAGGTTGAGGTTAAAATTAAATTGAGAAAGTACGCAGTACGTACTGTATCGTATGTAAGGTAAGTTCGTGCCGTACCGTACAGGATTGGGCTCTTAGAAACTTGTATCGCGATGTAAGAAACGGGGCACGACAGAACCTACGTTATTCGTACCGTATGGTACACGCTTTTCGGTCGCTSAATCAAGCGCACCCAAGTCCTTCCACAAGGATCAATAATATGGAAATTTTCGACGCACGTGTACCATCTCGTACGACCCATTGTACGTACCAGTACTCCCAAGAGGTATCGTTCTGGGTGCAAATTGAATCAGAGCCGAGACGATGTATGAACGGAAACCCAGTTCTCGTTGCTCTCGAGAAACACTTCGSCAGGCAACAAACTGAAAATGCCCGAAGGCCAGGCAACCACCAAGATTCGGCAATCGATCGATCAATCCAGCCTGGCAAAATGGATGGTTGCAAATGACGAGCTCAAGAGCGTCCTCGCCTTCCACCCGGCAGTGTCGTATTTTTCGGACGAAGATGCCCTGTGCGAAGCGATGGAGATACGCCAGTTCGGATTCGGGCAGAGCAATCCGACCTACCTCCTCCAGATCGGTCGCAGCGACAAGGATGCGCCGTCGGCAGCGCCGTTCCGCGCCGTCCTTCGGAGAAAACCATCCTCCGTGGCCCATCCCTCYGCCCACGCGCTGCACCGGGAATTCCAGGTGTTGAGGGGACTACAGAAGCACAACCAGCAAAAAACGAAAGACGAACACGTACCGGTCCCGCATCCGTATGCGTACTGCAAGGAGAAATCTGTGATCGGAGCCGAATTTTATCTGATGGAGTTCGTGCCCGGCCGAATATACACGGACTCCTCGATGCCCGGGATGACAAACACCGAGCGAAAACGCGCCTTTGAGAGCGTGGTGACGGTCATGGCCAATCTGCACGGCGTGGACGTTCGATCGGTGGGACTCGGCAGCTACGGCAAGGGGGGAAAGTATGTGCAGCGGCAACTCGATCGGCTGAAAGCCGTGAGCCGGAGGCAGGCAGAGTTGTCCGGCACCCCCGCACCGGAAATYGAGCGCCTCGCCCGCCAGCTCGGGGAGTTTGCGGCGGGCTGCCCGAACCGGATTTCCCTGCTGCACGGCGACTTCAAGATCGACAACCTCGTCTTTCACCCTACCGAGCCTAGGGTTATTGCCGTCCTCGATTGGGAGCTCAGCACCGTGGGCGATTCACTGTGCGACCTTGCCAATTTATGCGTCATGTACCTGATGCCGCAGAGCAAGAAGGCCGCAATATCCGGTGTCGCCGGCCTCGATCTGCGGTCCCTRGCGATTCCCACGAGAAAGGAACTCCTTGGGATGTACTCACGGCACCGAATACAAACCGACAGAACCACAACGATATCCCTCGAGGAAGTCCAAAAGTGGAGCGGATTTTACCTGGCATTTGTTACGTTCAAGAACGCGGTGATCGTTCAGGTATGTATCTCGACCACTCCACGTTTTAGAATCRAAACCCGTTSCGGCATGCATGAGTCTTTCTAATCTTTTCGCGTTTGAATTTGAATCTGATGAATACTCCAGGGTGTTGCACAACGGGCCAAGGCGGGTGTAGCCAGCAGTGCCAGAGCCAACGAGGTTGCGAAAGCCTTGCCCCTGATTTGTATGATGGCGCAGTCGATTCTAGATACAGAGGTTAGGCCACTTCTGACGGGAGAAAAAAATGATAGAGTAATTAGTAGTCTTTGATAGTTTGAATCGAAGCAAATGAAACAACAGAAGCCGTATCTCGCAAATTTCATATGGAGTTATAGATTACGCATTATTTTCTTTTTGGTCCAACTCGGTTCTCTCTTTGGCTCGGTTCTAAAAGTCTTCTTTGGCAATGTTCATAGATARAAAGTCCAAGGCGCCCTTATCGAATCCAAAATCGTCTGCAGAGTCTACTAGAGACAAAGCATATTCTGGGTTTGCCTCGTTGAGTTGGGAAACTGTGTCGATCGTAACTAGTTTCTTCTGCTTGCAGAGTTCAAATGCTTTTGCTGACAACTTTGAACGCGTCTCGCCCTCGGGCAGTTTCGCACACAACCTCAAAAATATCTGATACGTTGCTCTATTTGGTGGTACGTTATCTGAAGAACTTTCGTCGTGGAATTTCTTGAAGACGTCCAACGCAGTGACGAACAATTCTCTTGTCTTCAAAGGATCACTCATAGGAATCCTAGGTAKCTGGCTTTCTGTAGCAAGAAGAATACGATTGAATGCCGAAGTCTTGTCACGGTCGTCCTTAAATTTCACGTTGTATTCCGCCATCCGTTCGATCAAAATCATCGTCCTTTYCGCAAACTCCTTTAGATCCAGATCTTTGCGCCTCATTTTCGAGTAAATTAGATTCAAYGCGTCACACACTGTACCATTCGGTTGAAATGCKTCRTCTCCTGTCTCCTTGTATAATCGGTGGTACTCATCGAACAAGACATTGRCCGATTTGATTACCAAATCGTCGCGAGGGAACACGCAACYCGATGCTGCGACGAAGACAGGTGCCACAGCGTCGATAGAAGGCTTCAATTTGGGRTGCTCGTCGCTCAAATGGTAATTTTTCTGCAGTTCACGAAACACGGTTTGAATTCTTTCGAAAGCTGCATACCCTCTGTAGCCACTCGCCTGATGGCTCATGATGTCTATGTATATGGCACGACCAGGAAACAATTGTTGATCCTCGGTGAACTTGGAATACAAATGTATCTTTTTTACGACCTCCATCGACCGTTTGGCTGCAGTTCTCGCAGAAACACCCGACATTGTGTTCAATCCTTTGATAAAGGGATTGTAAACATAATATCCAGGCAGATCTTCGTTACGTCTGGTGATCTCGTACCTTTTCTCGATTCGGTTCAGCCAATGCTCTGCTCTTTCTAGAKTTCCAGCAGAAATGCACACTTTCATGACAAATGTCATCATCTTTGTTGTTGCCTTCTGCGAAGKGTAATATTTTTCATACCTTGCGACAACATCTTCAGCGAGATCAACTCCYTCCTGACCTATGTGTGCYCTAGAATAGGCCCGTGTWACTAACTCGTAAACTCGCACATTCGGTCTAACGACGTTTCCGTTGTAATTGTCAAGCCCATACCCAAGAGGAAAATTGATTTGAGATAGATCCTCACCTTCCAATCTATAGAACTTGGATTCTATCCGCTTTAGTTCATCATCCATATGAAGGGCTTTGGTTCTTGGATTACTGATTGATCGCTGTGTTTGGCATTGGAAGAAATAAAATGGGCACCATCGTTTAGGTTGCTGTGCTCGATTGTTGTACTTGATGATTTCGATTTGGTTGGCTCGTTTGTGGTGAGCTRCGTTGCCCGTCAATCTTTCGTCAKATTCAGGATTCTCGGGATCACTCTCCAGATCGAATTTCATATCGGCCTCCGACAAAGAGACKCTAAGACCAGAGCTTGATACAACCGGACGCCGCACTTTCCCAGGAAGTACAAAAGAAAGAGCTCCYGGTGCAAGAAGAGCCAAGGCCAGGAAATTGATAAGCAAAAAGGGGACAATTGACTTCATTTTCATTTCCCTTGAGAACATGTACAATAAAAGATTATGAAGTGAAG